GGGGAGTGAGGGGCCACAGTGGGTTGGCAAGAGAAGGCGCTGGGTGGTGGGGTCGGCTGCATGGCACGTTGGGGGATTTCTCATCCGAACTTGGAGGCAGCACCTTCATTCCATTAAGACACTTCCTGTTCACAGGAGGCTCCCATTCGAGTCCCAGGTCCTGGCCAATTCATTCCAAGATTTTCCCCTTCGTGGGGACTCACACGGGGGTCACGGCCCGAGGCTCCGGGTTTGAGTTCTAATGATCTCAGACCAGCTGGGGTTTTACATCTCTAAAGCCGTTTCCCCGTCCGTTAGATGGAGGATAGTGTGTCATACAGACTGCCACACAGATTAATACGATGAGATGTCTGTACAGTGCACATGCATTGTTCCCCAGTCACTGGCTGTGAAATGATCTATAAACAGAACTACGTTATTCTGTGAAGAGGGTTTGTGGCAAGTGATATCGCTACATCCTTCTAGCTCACGAGAATAGATGTGCCTTGGCCGGTGTGGCTCAGTGGTTGGAGCGTCAGCCCACACAGCCAAGGGTCCAGGGTTCAATACCTGGGCTGCAGGTTTGCTCCCCACCCCTCCACCCCTCCCTCCTTCCCTTCCACTCTCTGAAAAGCAATGGAAGAAATACCTCATGTGAGGATTAACAACAAGAAAAGTGAGCTGTGAGGAACTGCAGCAGAGATTGCTGGTTGTCAGTCCTGTCCGCCCCGCATTTCCCTAGTAGCAGAACCCCTGCTGACGGCTGGGCACACGGCTGTCTGGGAGAAAGACGACAGTTCCCAGCCTCCCTTGCAGCTAGGTGTGGCATGTGACAAGGTGCTGGCCAATGAGGTGCGAGTGGAATTTTTCCTGGACAGTTTCTTGCAGTCTTTCTGCAGGGGCTGCAGGGCCCCTGCTCCCTGTGTCCCTTCCTATCCTCCTGCCGTGTTCTCTGCCCAGAGCCTGGCTGTGACGCAGAGCCTGGCGTGGGGCGTGGGCACGGCCTGTGAGGGCAGAGCGAGGAACTGGGCCAGGCTGGTTCCCAAGGCTTTCGGGGGGCCAGCCCAGCACCTGCCCGCAGGCGACTACCTGGGAGAGAAAGCAACTTGTTTCACCTGGTGCTCTGTTCGTTGTGACCAATTTTCTGTATTGAATCAGTAAAAAAACACACCTGACTTTTTAAGTAAAAGTACTCAAACTTACAAATCCAAATGCATACTGACCTTCGAAATAGCCCTCCTGTCTCTACCGTAGAATTGTGTCAATGTCCCTAACATGCATGTACTGATCAAGCATTAATAAACACTTACAAATTCTTCTTTCGGAATCACCTTCAGGGACACACCCCCATTTTGCTATGTTATGAGATCATTGTGTACTTTCGACACCCGGGTTGTACTGATCGGCTTAATTTCATTCGCCCGACTGACTTCTTCATGATCCTTAGCTATTTCCCCAAAGCAAATCCACCCTTAAACATATCCCTGGGCCCGGACGTCGTGGCTCAGTGGTTGAGCATCGACCTGTGAACCAGGAGGTCACGGTTCGATTCCTGGTCAGGGCACATGCCTGGGTTGTGGGCTCCATTCCCAGTAGGAGGCAGCTGATCAATGATTCTCTCTCCTCATTGATGTTTCTCTCTCTCTCCCTCTCCCTTCCTCTCTGAAATCTATAAAAATATTTTTTTAAATAAGGACATCAATTTCATTTTGAGCTGCCGGGCAGGAGCCCATCTTTCTCCTCATGTGAAAGTCTCCGGTCCCTGGCGATGCGTTTGCCCCGGACAGACGTGTGTGACTCGTTCATGAAACCCCCGCGGACCCGACCTCGGGGAGGGCAGAGCCGGCCCCAGGGCCGGGCCTCTGTTTTGTGTGGTGCTCCTGTGTCTCCTCAGGAACTTGTGATCTTGCCTGAGAAGCTGGAGTCATCCCACGGGGTTGCTGACAAAGCCCAGTTACCCAAGAGATCGAGGCTGAAGGGGGGTGAGCCAAAGGCGTTAACTGTCCGGGCGTCCTTCCTGAGACACGAACCATAGAATCATTAAGCCATACATCTCCGGGGACGGCAAACTAGCTCTCCCCGAGTCTGCGCACAGACGCAGGAACCCGGAAGCCTGCAACGTGAAGACATTCACCTCTCTCACCGGGACCCCGGGCCCACGAACCTCCATCAAGAGACCTATGTTACCGCACGGGTGCCCCCGAGTGTCGGCGTTTCTCAGGTGAGTCCCGAACTCACTCAGGACGATGACAGACACTGTCCCCACTCACTGATCCCTCCCAGCGCGGCTGGGTCCGGCCACCCGTGAGCTGTCCGGTGGGTGGAGAGAGCCGTGGGGGCCCCAGCCCGCCCTCTGCCTCCCGGCCAGGACTCACACTTGTGGGCTCTCAGCTGCTTCTCGTCCACGGGGAGCAGGTCCAGGTAGTCCAGGTAGTACTCGTAGCCGAAGGAGGGCGCGGAGGCGTTGCTGTTGTTGGCCGTGGCCATGGCCGCGCTGGCGTGTCCGTGTCCGGCGGTCTCTCCCCCTCCCTTCCACTCTCTCAAACAACCAATGGAAAAATATCCTTGGGTGAGGATTAAAAGCAACAACAAAAGAGGCTGCATTCCTGGCAGGGTCCTCAAGTGCGAGCAGAGCTGGGAGGACGCCCCTTTCTGCCTTAAGCAGATAAAAAAGTGAAATTCCGAGTGAAGGCCTGGCGCTGCCGTGGGCGCACGCTGAGGCGCTGGCCGTGGAGCAACCGCCGTCACTGGCTCAGAGCCATCGTCCGAGGCGGCGACGGCCATGTGGGCCCTGAACTGTGACCTCGCTCATGAACACACGGCGTTCACGAAGCCAGAGCAGCCGCCCCTACCCAGTTCCCCTGTTTTACCTAGGCCCCCAGGACCCGCCAGGCAGCTGCCCGGGTTCAGACAGACAGAGGGACGGACGGGGTGGTTTGTCTGGGCCGAGGTCCCACATGATGGGCTGAGCTCTTGGGACACAGGCCCCGCAGGTCACCGGCCCCGGCCAAGGCACACAGTCAGGGGGCGTCTCCAGGCTGGAGAGGAGCAGGGCGACGTGAGCACTCGGCCTCCGAGTGGGGGAGCTCAAACACAGCATTGGGGCCTCTCCCTCCAGCACCCCACTCGCATGTTCTCCACGCAGGTTACACCGAGGGGAGCGGCATGGACGTGTAGACGGCAGCCAGGAGCTCGGGCTCGCGGGGGTGAGCCTGCAGCTGCCCGTCCACGGGGCGACACTCCCCGCACGTGCTGTGGTCAGCAGCTCCACGAAGGTTAGACCTCGGTGGGCATGTCAGCAGAAATCATTACTCCCACATCTCGGGGGGCAAACTCCCCCCCCATCCGCACACAGACAGAACCCCGAGGCTGCCATGCGAGGCAGTGGGCCTCCCTCCCTGGAGAACCTCAGGAAGCTCCCACCTCCAGCTCCATCACCGCCCCACAGCCCGTGCTCACACCCACGCGAGCACATGCAGACACACCCACACAGACACCCACATACACACCCACACAGCATGCGCACACACGTGCACACACGCAGACACACCCGTGCATCCACACACAGCATGCACACAGACACGCTCACACACACATGCATACACTCATGTGTGCGCACCCAGGCATGCACGTGCACACATTCACGTGCACACGCACAGAGGCATGTCCTAGGCATGGACTCCTGCGGTTGTGGAGGCTGTGGGCTGGAGGCCTGGGAAGCGGGGGGCCGAGGTGGCGGCCTGAGAGCCAGAAGCCGGGTGGGGGTTGCATGGAGTTCACTCTGCTGTTCCTGCTGCTTTTGCAAATGTTTGAAATGGTCTGTGATAGGAATTTGTTTTTTAAAAGTCACGCACACCCTACACTTACTTTCATAGTCCTCCTAGAGGCCCAGTGCGTGAATTCGTGCACGGGTGGGGTCAGGCCGGCCCAGCCCCAATCAGCAGACAGAGGCCAGGCCTGTCGGGAGGAGGAGACAGCGGGAGGTTGGCCGGTGGACCTGCCCCCATCGGGTCGATCAGGGCCGGCCGGCTGGGGGGAGGGGCCACAGGTGACTGGCCGGCGGGCCCCGCCCCCAATTGGGGCGGAGGGGCTGCAG